ATTCGGAACAAGTAAATTTTCATTTATTTTAAAAAAAATATTAATATAAATAAATAAATGTAAACGGTTTTTTAATCATTCGGAAACCCGTGATCACCCTCTGTAGTTTACTAAAATTTCAACTTTTATCAGATCATCATCCCAGCTGCCACCATTATTGCCACTGTCATCAAAAGGGTAAGTGTTGTTAGAGTATTTTTTTTTTTTTAAAGGTGGTGGTCACATGCAACTGCTGGTGGTTGCAATCATCACAACTCATTGTCATTTTAGTTTACTTATAAATAAACCTTGTTCTTTATTTATAACAATAGTAATGATATTAAAGAATGGATTGATACAGATGATCTACTTGAAAGTATTAAGAAGATTCTATGAGGACCACCACCAACACCACTAGATACTCTGGAACTTTTTGAATATCTGAAAATATTATTATCTGAAGATAATGCTGAGATTCCAGTATGTTTTAACAATTTCTCTATTAAGCTATTCATTGAATGTTTTGTAGATTTTCAAATATTTTTACATCACATAAACATTATAGGATTCAACTGAATCATCATTGTCTCATGATAATGGTACCACTAGTGATTAAAGCTCCCCACAAGCTGGCTTGTGAGCCAGATAATTTATTCAGCTTGAGAGCTGGCTTGTGAACTTATTAAGTTATTTGGCTTGCAAGCTGGCTCATGTGGAGCCTTTCTAGTAATAATGAAACAATGACAATAGTGTTACTACTGAAAGTGATGACAATTATGACAAATATTCTGATTATATTGATGATGATGATTTTTGTAGAAAATTTCAGCAAAAAATTTCAAAAGTAAATCATATTAAATTTATTAAATTGTAAAAATTTTTTTTGGCTCAACTTAAATGATAATTTTGTTCTTTGATTTTTTTTTTAAATTAGTACATTAAAAAAAAAAATCTACAGGTGCCCATTACACCAAAATTTTTAGAATAAAGAAAATATGTTGCAAGTTTCAAATCTTTAAAACTTTGACACAAGTTAACAGAATTCATGTTAAAACCAACCTTCACCAAGTCTATCAGATGTTTGCCTCAAAATATCTTTCTTTTCTTGTATTTGTCTACCTAACTCACCATCATCTTTCAAAACTTGAGTTAAGTTCTGATCTACTTTATTGCAAATTACATATATATCATTGGTTTTTTTTAATAACAACTTTTACCATTGTTATCATTATTTATTATCATGATTAATTTAAAATGTATGACCATTAATAATTAACATAATGAGGCAAAGTATAAAATGAGAGA